ACCAGTCCCTACTCGGAACCCGCTCAATGCTCTCTGCCTAAACCCGCGTTTGCTGGTCCTTCAACAAATGTCTTCTTCTTCCAACAGAGCCTCCTCCCAAGATGGGTTCGTCTCCAGTTCTGAGGAAACCTTGCACGGTCCGTGCTGCCTTCGTCATCCTGACGCTGGTCCTGCTCGCCTCTGTCGTGCTGCAGGCCATTCTCTGTAAGTCCTCTGGCTCCTTCTCCAGGGCCAGTCAGCTTCCGCACACCCAGCCCTCTCTTTCCCGCTCTCCAGTGGTCTCTCCCGCCTATGGCTTTTTCATTTGCCTCATTTTATTTGCCTCTTTCCTTGTGCATTCACAGGTCCCTGTCCTCAGTAAAATGAACTGCTGCTCTTTCTTTCCCACTTCCGGGGAGGTTTTTCTGAATGGGATCAGCACTTGCATGCTTGTGCTCAAAGATACACTCTTTGTTCCAAGGACACGTTCACCTATTTCTTTATCCCATGCCATTTTTCTCCTCCCTCTCTGAGCTCTACGTCCCTTCGATCCAGAGAGAGCCTTGTGGGACTCCCCAACAATGAGTAAGATGTTTCCGACTCCACAAGGGATGGAATCCCAACCGTGTCCTCAACCCCAGCTGACTAGATGGGTAACTTGACCAAGAAGCCAACAAATCTCCAGGATTCTTCCCCTCCCCTGGACCCCTTTGTGCTCTCTTCATTCTGTTCTCATGTCAAGGGAGCCTTCCTACTTCTTCATTGGATGTGTGACTTATCTTCCTTCTTCTCCCAGCTGAGGCTCGTGGCTTCTGCAGCTGGCAGAGCCTTCATCTTCCATCAGGAAGGGGACATCTATCTTCTCTTTTTATGGATTTGGGACATATTTCATCTTAGACTTGGAGTCTCTGAGCAGAGTCTCCTCTGCTTGGAGCCCTCTTGGCTTACTTTTGTGGTTTTTAAAGAAATATATTTTATTAGTTTCAGAGAGGAAGGGAGAGGGAGAGAGAGAGATGGAAACATCAGTGATGAGAGAGAATCATCAATCAGCTGCCTCCTGCACACCCCACACTGGGGATTGCACTCACAACCTGGGCATATGCCCTTACCAGGAATTGAACTGTGACCTGGTTCACAGGTCGATGCTCAACCACTGAGCCACACTGGCCAGGGGCTCTTGGTTTACTTTTGGTCTCCTCTCTGGCACCAAACCTGTGACCTAATCAGAGTGTGACAATGGGAGGGATAAGGGAAGAGGATAATTTGTTTAATAATTCTCTCTTTCTGTTTTCTCTGGAGAAGTGACTTCCAAGTTAGAAGTGTGCATGGCTGGCTGTTCTCATGGTCACAAAGAGCCTGTGGACAGATGTGGGAGGGGTGGTGCTGCCCTCGCTGATGGCCACTGCAGGAGTCTCTGAAAGGAGAGGCTGGGAATCAAGTGACAGGGCACAGAGGATGTGGGGAGGGGCCAAAGGTGTGGTTGAGGGCGTCCCTTTACCAAATGTGCTCTGAACATTTAAAGAAAATTTAGGACTGGGTTATAATCCCTGGTTCTGTTGCCTGTGAGGTCTTCTAACAGAGAGCCCATGATTATCAATCTTTGCATTACCCGCAGCTACCAGAGTTCCAGGCACATGGTAGGTGCCATCACTTGTTTGTTAAATAAATAGATTAGGAATGAACATAGGATAAACAACAGCTCCTTGGGTTGGGTCCTTGGGAAACTCGAGCCCATCTCTTCCCTTCCTCTTATCACTCTGATAACACCCTCTCTCCCTTCCCTAAGGATCCCTTTGACTGACCCCTTGACTTTCTCAAATCCAGATCCCTGGTTTATGGGCACACTATCAGACGTAAAGACCAATGCCCAGTTGCTGAACGGTCGTGTGGACAACATCAGCACCCTGAGTTCTGAAGTTAAGAGGAATAGAGGCGGCGTGAAGGCAGCTGGCATTCAGGTCCAGATGGTGAATGCTAGCCTGGATCATGTGCATTCTCAGATCCGGAGGCTGGAAACCGGTATGAAGGCAGTCAATGCACAGATCCAGATGTTAACAAGAAGTTGGGAGGAAGTCTACAGTTTAAATGCCCAGCTCCCAGAATTAAAAAGAGATTTGGATAAAGCCAGCGCATTAAATGTAAAGGTTCGAGGACTCCAGAGCAGTTTGGAGAATATCAGCAAGTTACTCAAACAGCAAAGTAAGTGACTGAGAAAATAATATTGCAAGCTGATTGGTGGCCCATGGGACCTTGCTGGTCTCAAGCCTGAGGCCACTGGGGCTGGTGTGTGTGTGGAGGGAAGCAGAAGAGGAGCAGGGCAGGCCTGGCTGCAAAGCTAAGAAGAGAGGGCTCAGCATTGGGGTTGGGGAGGACTTAGGAGAAAAGGAACCAGGACCAACTTGGGCTTCCACACAAAGGCACAGAAAATGGCATTAGGGAGTCTCTGTCCTGGCCCAAACCCAGCTATTTTCCATTAAGTTTCTTACCTAGAACCCAGGGTCTCAGCCACTTGTGATGGCCAGTGGAGAACTGCTTCTCTCTCATGAGAGATAGATTCTTGGTCCATCCTCTCTCTCTCCCCTCCCTGAGCCCAGAAACTCTACTAATCTCAGTCAGACTTTCAGAATCTGCAAGATTGTCCCCAAACACCTACACAAGGACCCAAGGACCCTAGAGCCCAGCCCCATTCATTGCTATTGCTGGGATCTCACTCAAGTGTCCCCACCTAGCCAGCACCCAGAGAAACAGGAACACCAGTGTTCACCTTTCACCTGTTCTCCAGATGACACTCTACAGATGGTTTCTCAAGGCTGGAAGTACTTCAAGGAGAACTTCTATTACTTTTCTCATGTCCAAAAGACCTGGTACAGCGCCCAGCAGTTCTGTGTGTCCAGGAATTCACAACTGACTTCGGTGACCTCAGATAGTGAGCAGGTGAGTGTTATTTCTACTGGAGGTATATTAGTAGCTGCATTAGGCAGGATAGGCAAGATTATGCTGCCATGACAAAAATCCCCAAATATCAGTGACCTAACAATGAAGGATTACTTCTCACACTACATGTCCAACAAGGGCCTACAAGGGGTTTTGCTCATTGTGGTTACTCAAAGAGACTTCATCTCATGTATGTTTCCACAATTGCTGAGGCAGGAAAAGGAAACATGGCACATTGTGTATTTTGGGCTCTGCCTGGAATTAACACATCTCTACTCACATTTTCATTGTAAAGCAAATGATGGAATACTCCTAGCTTCAAAGAGAATAGGAAGGGACCATCTTTCTGGATGCCCAGAAAACAGAAATATTTGTAAACAGCATTATTGACACCACAGAACCCAAGAAGTCTTCTGCCTGGTGAGGCAGGAAATTGAACAAACCCCTTCCATTTGGAAGGTGTGGTAGTAGGGTAGGCAAGAGCTTGGTCCTGGGGTCAGAGTCTAGAATCCCCACCCTGCCTCTAACTAGTCCCAGATGAAACACAAGTAATAATAGTACCTGTCTCAAACAAATAACAATACTCAAGTTATTCAGATCAAGAAAGTGCATACAAATGTATAGTACCTTGTACATACAAAGTGCTCACTACATTTAGATATCATTGTTTGGGCCATTCTCCTGGGGTCCCTGTTCTGGAGTTTAGCTGATTCTTTCTTGTGCTCTAGCACCTGCTTCCTGAGGGTCAGAAGGCCTGAGTCCCGAGTCCGTTAGTTACGGGGCAAAGACAAATAATTAGGAAGATGGACTCTGGGCTCTGAGCAGGGACAGGAAGAAGCTTGAGAAAGGTCAGGATGCAGGTGTGTCCGTGGGTTCAGGGGCTGTCACTGAGGACAGGAGAAGAACACCCAGAGTGACAGGTGCTCTAACTCCGCGTGATGGCAGCATCTCTGCTCATTCTGTCTTCCCTACAGGAGTTTCTGTACAAGACAGCAGGCGGACTTTTCTACTGGATCGGCCTGACCAAAGCAGGGACTGATGGGGACTGGTACTGGGTGGATGAGACTCCATTCAACAAGGTCCAGAGTATGAAGTAAGGCCCCCAGAGCCCTCCTTCCCAGCATGACATTTTTGGATCAGGGCCAGGGTAGAAGCCTGGGATGATATTTCCCTCTGACTATAGCATTTGTGATCCTTCCCTGTCCATTGCTGCCTGGAGCACTGAACCAAAATCCAGCTCACTTCTGTCACTAATTGGCTGTGGGGGCAAGGACATACCTGTGGCCTCTCTGTACCCTCAGGGGTTTGGCAGCATGGCTGTCCAGCCAGCTTCGGCAGGGGGCCTGGTCTACGTCTAGATGTCCTAGTGTGGTTGGTGTAGAGCCATGAGAGAGGTGGGCCGGTTCAGTCCTAATCTGAGGTGATGGCAGGCTTAGCGGTTGACAGCTCACCAATTCCCTTCCTCTCAGGCGTGGGTGCAAAAACTTGTGACATTATCACCTGGGACCAAAGCTTGGATTGAAATTACTCCTTTTTTCATTGGAAATATGTTTTCCTTTGTTTTTTTCATGTGATAGGTTCTGGATTCCAGGTGAGCCCAACAATTTGGGGAACAATGAACACTGTGCCAATTTAAAGATGTCCTCACTTCAGTCATGGAATGATGCCCCCTGTGACCATCCGTTCCTTTTCATCTGTAAACGTCGCTATATTCCATCAGAACCATGACAGGACTGAGCCCCAAGCTGGCACTTTGAGCCTCAGTGCTTGTCCAAACTCAAGGAAGTGCCACTCGTCCTCCACACTCCAAGGTGACTTTGCACCTTAACTTTCCTTGCTTCAAAAGTGTCCCCTATGCACCTGGAGTCCGTCTGCCTTGGCTGGAAGTTCTTCGACCCCATAGAGGGAGCTGGAATGGAAAGATCTGGGGTTAAAATGGGAGAGGAAGGTGAAGAAGATTTAGAAATTCAAACTGCCTCAGTAGATGGATCAGGACCCATAATTTGGGGCACCCCCTGTGGTTTTGCTTCTTCTTGGCTGAGCTAGGTAATGTGTGTGTGTGTGTGTGTGTGTGTGTGTGTGTGTGTGTGTGTGTATGACTAGTTATTTTTTGAAAAAAGTATTGTGCCTGCAATATGGTGACAGGACTTGAGGGAGGTCAGAGTAGAGGCAGGGAGAGCTGTTGGAAGATAATTGAGTCCCTTCAGAGAAGCCTCAGTTTCATCACATGAAAGCTGCTTCAGACACCCAAGCAATTCTTCTACTACTGATAGCCAGCAGCTTTCCAGTGGATCCCCCAAATTCCCAGTTGCTTGCTCAGAGGGCCGTGTTCTTTGGAAGACTCTGCTCTTGGGGATCCTGTCCGTGCCTCCCTCTTCATCGACATCCTCTTCATCCTCAATAAAATGCTACCTGGGTAAAGGCCTCCCTCTGTGTGCACGTTTCATTCCTGGGTGTACGTCTGCTTTGCTAGACATGAAGTTCTGGGGTATCCTCAGGAACCAGTGGGTGTTCAAAATGAACAAGGAGTAGAGAAATCCCGCAGAATAAGACCAATGCTTATCCCTGGTTTTATCAAAGTGAAGGAGAGTGAGATCTCCAGTGTCTGTTTCTTTTTTTTCTTAAGAAAAATGTTTTTATTGTTTTTGTTTTTTTTTTTAGAGAAAGAGGATGGGAGAGGGAGAGAGACACATTGATTGGTTACCTCCTGGGAATTGAGTCTGCAACCTGGGTATGTGCCTTGACCAGGAATCGAACCAGCAACCTTTTGGTGCACAGGACAGCCCCCAACCACCTAAGCCACACCAGCCAGGGTGGTCTGCAGTGTCTTGACTTTCTTGGTGGCCTTTCCTCTCAGATGTTCACTGGAAAGTCTATTCTCTGGTTTTACTCTCAAGGGGAAAACTCCTCAGGTTTCCTACTCTTCCCAGAACCCTGTTCCCAGGAATTGGGTTCAAATCTCAGCCCAGTGGCTGAGGCAGGAATCCAGGCAGCACCAGACAGGAGGGGAGGAAAGTGGAAACAGGAGGGAGTGCAGAGTCCTACAGGGGGGACATATTTCTTCAATGAAATGGGCTGTCTTCCAGGCCATAGACTTCTTGTTATGACCTCACATGGTAGAAGGGCCAGCAAGTATAAGGCCATTAATCCCCTTTGTGAGAATACCACCCTCATGTCCTCATCACCTCCCAGAAGCCCCACTTCCTAATGCTATCAAATTGATGGTTAGGGTTTCAGCATATGAATTTGGAGGGGACACAAACACTCAGACCATAGCAGTCACTGTGCGCAGCCCACACTTAAGGATGATGGCATATACTATACAGAAATGATATGTAATCTTTCTGTATGGGAGATTTAGCTATTTGTCTATTTATTCAAGCATTTACTTATATCTATGAATTCGTAGATTTTATACTTTGGGTTATAATTCAATAATACTATATATATTTTCTTGTTCAAGTCCTTCCAGCTTTGGGAGCTTCTTTCATTCGGCTCCTGTGTCCTTTTGATATATTTGCATCATTTTTTAAAAACCATCTCTTTACTTTCTGACAGTATAAGATACCCCAGGATCATTTTGTAGATTTCCTGCTCCCGTCCTAGAATCAGACATTTCTCCAAAACATCCTGGCTTTTCTGTTTGTTTGTTTGTGTTTTTTTTTTTTTTTTTTTTTTAGAATGGTATTAGAAACCAAAATGTGGGTGTTGTTGCTTCCCCTTGGCTGAGATTTCTAGGTAATGCAAGCATGGGTATCTAACTGGCTTTTGAAAAGATCATTATGTGTGCAATACGGTGACGGGACTTGAGGGAGGCAAGACTAGAGGCTGGGAGAACTGTTAGGAGACTAATTGGGTTACAGCCGGGTGAGATGGTGGCCTGCAGGGAGGCCTGTGATGGGGGAGATTACAGTGTATGATAAAGGATGCAAACAAACAGCTGTAGCGATATACAGGGTGTGGTCAGGAGAGGCCCAGAGCACAAGAGCCTCTGTCCCCGAGGAACTGGGGAGCAATCCCCTCCTGGCACATGGATGTGTTCACCAACCAGGAACTTGAAAGCTCCTCGGATCTCTCTCGTTGTTTGTGAGCTTTTATAACTCCATCTCAAGGCCCCTCTCCTGCCTGGAGGTGGGGGTGGGATGGGTTGGGGTGGGATTGGAGAGGTAGGAGCTTGCTCTTTCTGGGAGGGACCAGCTCCCATCCTGAAGCCATCTAGGGGTCCACCCCAGTCACCTTATTAGCATAAACTCAAGGGTAGTTGAAAGGGGCTTGCTATGAATAACGAAAACACTCCTATTACCCAGGAAATGTCATGGGCTTTAGGAGCTCTGTTCCATGAACTGGGACAGAATCCAATATATGTTTCATTCTACCACAGACCCTTACCTGCCACGCCAGCTGTGAGGTCCTGAGTGGACAGTGAGGCCCTGAAAGGGTCTAGGGCAGTGATGGCGAACCTATGACACGTGTGTCAGAGGTGACACGCGAACTCATTATTTTTGGTTGATTTTTCTTTGTTAAATGGCATTTAAATATATAAAATAAATATCAAAAATATAAATCTTTGTTTTACTATGGTTGCAAAGATCAAAAAATTTCTATATGTGACACGGCACCAGAGTTAAGTTAGGGTTTTGCAAAATGCTGACACGCCGAGCTCAAAAGGTTCGCCATCACTGGTCTAGGGCTAGGATTAAGTCAGCCATGGGTCACAAGGATTTTTTTTCTGCAAAGCTGGGAAGGAACCTCTGATCTCCTCCTACGTTGCTGGTGAAAGTGTTTGTGATTTGGGGGCGGAGGCTAGTGTTTGGGGGCTACGCTGGAGAGCAGATGTTGGGGTGATGGGCCTGAGGGGAGGGTGAGGACCTGTGTGGACTGGGAAGAGGAAGAGGATAGGGCCTGGGCAGACTGGTGCCTGGGTGTCCTGGGGGGAGGGGCCTTACTGGGGGGCTTCTGCAGAGTCAGCGGGGAGAGGAGGAGGAGGAAGGCAGAGTTTAGGTGTGGTCAGGAGCATAAAAGTCCAGGGTATCTCAGCTTCCCTCCCACCACTACGGGCCCACAGCACAACCCTTCAGGGGCTGAGGCGGGGAGCAGCACTGGAGGAGGAAGGAAGCAGAGATGAATTATGACAAGGTCCGCTTCTGCAGAGACAACCAGTCTGTCTCCCTGCACCCCCACGGTGAGGACACTGGGGGCTCAGCCGCCCTCCATCAGGCACTGGCTTGCTTGAACCCCAGCCCTCCGCCATTTTCTCAGCACCCTCTTGGCAGCCCAGAGCTCCCTATGCTCATCGCTATGTCAGCCTCCACAACAAACAGGCAAGGGCAGAAGGTGGGTCGGGAGAGGACAGAGAGGCAGGACACCCTCCAGTCTCTGCACGGAATCCCCCAGGATGGCAACCTGGCAAGAGAGAGCGTGGACTTCGAATTCAGAGGGACCCGGTTTTGAATCCCATCTCTGTACCCCATGAGGTTCAGGGGATCAGCTCCCAGACTCCCCGGCACAGCCCTTCTTAGGACAAGGACAGGGGCCTTCTGACCAGGCAGAGGGAGTCTGCAGGACCGATCCATGTCAGTTTGTGGAGGAGGCAGCAGCCCCAAAGACCTGTGAGTCTTGCTCTGGTCAGGATTCAGGGGCCAGACTGGCCCTGGGACTCCGAGGTCAGGATTCTCGCTCTCTCCCTCCCCTCCTGCCTCCCTCCATCCTTCCCTCTTCTCTCATTCAAATCACTCTTCCGTTGCCCTCCTTGTCCAGGCCGGGTTCTGTACCCTGTACACCTTCTCCAGCCTTTGTGTTGCTACCAGGCTTCATTCCCCTTCTCCATGATCAGTGCAGGTGTTCTCATCCCCAGCAGACAGGCCGGGAGACTGAGCCCGAGGGGCTAACTCTGCCCAGCCCGCACTCTCCTCCTGGACTCTGGTGTCTCCCCCACAGGCCTGGACTCCTCGGCAGTGGCTCCAGCGGCCCCCAAGATGTCAAGGCTTGTTCTGGCCAGCCTGGTATTTATGGTCATGATCATTGCCACCTCTCTGACGGCTCTCTTTGTTGTGGGTAAGCTCCTAGGTAATCCGAACCCCACAGGCTCTCTCTTCCTGGAAAGAGGCCACTGACCAAGGGGAGCCTCCCAAGAGCAGAGGCCCAAGAGCAGAAGCTCCGAGGGGTACTGGGTGCCACCTCCCTCCTTCTGGAACTTGACTGGGGGAGGGGGCAGCCCATTCTCAGACTCAATGCTGAGGGATTGTGCTGACCCAGGAATGGGGTGTCTCAGTTCTACAGAAACCAAGACCTGCACCGGAGGCCTATGCCTACTCCCAAGAGTTTCTGGGAGACAACAGCACCTGGCAGTTACCCGTGGAACCCGACAGTGAGTAGCCACAGTGGAGCGCATGGGTGGGAGGGAGCTGGGGCATCCGGGTGCCCAGACCCTAGGATGGACCTCTCCCCTAACACTCCCTGCCCTTGAATGAGTGCCGCTATCCTCACAGAAAGGCGTGATTTTTTCTTTAGAGAACAGCTTCTTGAGGTATAATTGACGCATAATTAAATACCCATATTTAAAATGTACACTCTAAGAACTTTTGACATATGTATATGCCCATGAAACCATCACCACAATCAAGACAATGAACATATTCATCCTCCTCCCAAATTTACTTGTGCCCTTTGCCATCATTCCCTCTCTCCTCCTCCCTTCATCCCCAGGCGACCACAGATCTACTTGCTATAATATAGATCACTTGGCTTTTTCTAGAGTTTTATATAAAAGGGATCATATCATGTGTACTCTTTATTTGAGTACTCTTTATCAGTCATATGGTTTGCAAATATTTTCTCTCAGTCCATGGCTTATCTTTTCATTCTCTTAACAAGATTTAAATTTTGATTATGTATACTAGTAATTTATAGATTTCTTTCTTTTATGGGTTGCACTTTTGGTCTCATATCTGAGAAATCTTTGCCTTTGCCAACATCACAAAGACATTCTTGATGTTTCCTTCTGGAAATGTTATAGTTTTGGGTTTTACATTTAGGCCTATGATTAATTTTGAGTTAAATTTTGTATACAAGATTCATTTTTTTAGCATATGGATATACAATTGTTTCAGTATCATTTGTTGAAACAATTATGCTTTCTCCATGAATTGCCTTTGTATCTTCATTGAAATCAATTGTTCATACATGTATGGGTGTATTTCTGGATTTTCTATTCTGTTCCATTGATCTATTAGAGGCCCGTGCACAGCATTCATGCACTGTGTGTGTGTGTGTATGTGGGGGGGGCGTCCCTCAGCCCAGCCTGCACCCTTTCGCAGTCCGGGACCCCTCGGGGACATCCTTAGCGCTGTTGCAGAGGCAGGAGAGGCTCCCGCCACCGCCCCTGTGCTTGCCAGCCACCTGGCT